CTCATGTTACAAGAACCACAATGTTTGACTGATTGACTTTTGAATATCTAGCACTCCATTCTGCCCATAGATAAAGGTTAGCTTTAAACACAGAAATATAGATTAACTTTTGACTTTGCTTAGTCCAGTGTGCAAAAAAAATAAAAATTACATGTGCTCAATAAAAATAGGAAAAATTACATACTCTCAATGCTAAGCAAAGAAATATAAATTAAAACAAGACAAAGGCAGCCATCAAATTTGGAAAAACCCACATATGACACCCGAACTATCTTTAGTATACCAAATGGCTTCTGAATCTCATTTGATGAATAAACATTAAGGAATATCACAGGCAATGCTGTTTGCCAGCAAAAAAATTCATTTTTGGCAATGTCTTTGTGGAATATTTTCTTATTTAATTTTTGCCTTTATTATTTTGTTAAAAAAAAGTGGAAATCAGAAAAATGGAAGTGCTGCTGCTTAAGATGGCAGAATAGCAGGGGGACCCTGAACTTGCTTTGTCCCTTGCACACAGCTAAGTCAACATCAACTCATTTGGAACAACGAGGAAACTGATCTGAGGATTAAGAAAACAATCTGCACAACTGGAAGGAGAGGACATGGCAGATGCGAGGTTCTGAGACGTGAACTGGGGGAGAGAAAAGCCACACTGCCCCTCAGGGAAGAGAGCCCTTTTCGTGGAGCAAAATCAGGGAGAGAGGGAGAGCAGGAGAGAGAGCAGCACGGAGGGTTCACACACAATGCCACAGTGTGGGGATCCCCCAGGTCACACTGGGAGAGAACACTCCCCTTTTGGAGTACATGTAGAAGAGGCCATTTTGGGGGCGCCTGGGTGGCTCAGATGGTTAAGCATCTGCCTTCAGCTCGGGTCATGATCCCAGGGTCCTGGGATCGAGCCCCGCATTGGGCTCCCTGCCTCAGCGGGAGTCTGCTTCTCCCTCTGCCTCTGCTCCTGCTCTCTGTCTCAAATGAATAAATAAAATCTTTTAAAATAAATAAATAGACAGACAGACAGACAGAAGAGGACATTTTGCCTCTCCAAGGACAAAAGGCCCGCCAGGCACCACTGAGCAGCCATTCAGCAGCAGGCCATAGAGGCGCGTGCAGAGGACACCGAGCCTGGTCGCAGCTCTTCACTCTGCTTCATCGTTGACTCCAGGCAGCTACACGGGCATGCAGCCGCTTCTCTGGAACAGAACGGTGACAGGCACAGTGCTGCAAGGCTCTCCTCCAGGGGAGGGGAGTGGGTCTGTGCTTTGCCTTCGGAATCCCAGCCACTGGCCAGAGATAAAACACAGGAGAACTGTGGGGCCGGGTGTGCCCACAGCAGGACACAGACAGGCTGAGAGCAGGGATCTGAGGAAAGCCTGGGACACAGGAGGGGAGATCATTCACTTTTCTGGGAGGACCTCCTGAACAGCAGTGCCTGCGAGTTCCCTTTCCCGGGGACAAGAGGGCAGGCTTACGCCATCTTCCACTCTCCCCTGCCCCCTCCCCCCGCCCCAAACCAGCACTGTCGAACTTAAGAGAAACACAGTGCCTCCGGTGGAGGCTGGAGTCACTTACACCAAATCCTGCCCCTCTGCTCCAGCAGGTCTGACTCTGAGCCAGTGCCGCAGGCCTCTCCCTGAGAAGACCAACACAGGCCCCCTGCATGTAGCAAGTCTACTGATCAGAGAGTGCTCCAAAGAGTCAGCTTCAGTTCTGGTGGAAATAGGACCAGGCTTTTATTTTTTTTTCCTTTGGAATGAGGCTTATAGTTTTTTTGTGTTTTGGTTTGTTTCCTTTTCTTATTTTTTGGATAATGCTTTTTTCTTTTTTTTCTATTTTCCTTCTTACTTTTTCTTTAGAATCAGGCTTACAGTTTTTTGTTTGTCTGTTTGCTTTTATGTTCCTTTTCCTTTTCTTGGATCAGGCTTTTTTTTCTTCTTCTTTTCTTTTTTTAAATCAGGCTTATCTTAACAAAGAAATTAAAGCACACCTAGCTAAAGGTCCAAAGACTCCCACTGCAAGCAAGGAAGAACTCTGTAGAGGACTGACCTGTAGCAAAGAGCAACCAAAACACAACAGCAGACTGCACACAGCATACACCAGAAACACTTCCCAAAGTGCCAGGCCCAAGACAATGTAGGACCCCTTCTTAATGTAGTATTATTCTCAGGAGCAGGAAACATAACAAACTTTCATAGAACGCAAAAGACAGAAGCCCAGACATAAGGACAAGACAGAGAAATTCTCCCCAAAAGAAAATTCAAGAAGAAATTACAGCCAGAAATTTCCTCAAAACAGATATAAGCAATATATCTGAACAAGAATTTAGAACAACAGTCAGAAGAATACTAGCTGGGCTAGTATTCTAAATGACATAAAAACTAGTCAGGTTGAAATAAAAAATCCTATAACTGAGATGCAAAACTGACTGGATGTAATCAAAATGAGGATGGAAGAAGCAGAGGGCAGAACAGGTGATATGGAAAATAAAATAATGGAAAATAATGAAGCCAAAAAGAAGAGGGAAAGAAAACTATTAGATCACAAATACAGACTTAGGGAACTCAACAGTTCCACAAAGCCCAATAATATCTGCACTGCAGGAGTCCCAGAAGAGCGGGGAAAAGGGTTAGGTTTATTTGAACAAATTATAGCTGAGAACTTCCATAATCTAGGGAAGGAAACAGGCAATCAAGTCCAAGGGGCACAAAGAACTTCCCTCAAAATCAACAAAAACAGGTCAACACCAAGACCTATTATAGTGAAACTTGCAAAATACAAAGATAAAAAGAGAATTCTGTAAGCAGCTAGAGACAAAAGGTCCACAGCCTACAAGGGTAGACACATAAGGTTATCAGCAGACCTGTCCACAGAAACTTGGCAGGCCAGAAGATAATGGCATGAAACATTGAACATGCTGCTGAATGGGAAAAGTATGCAGCCAAGAATACTTTATCCAGCAAGGCTGTCATTCCGAATAGAAAGAGAGATAAAGAGTTTCCAAGATAAGCAAAAACCAAAGTTCAGGAACACTAAACCAGCCCTAAAACAAATATTTGACCCTTTGAGCAGGAAAAGGACCAAAACCAACAAAGAATAGAAAGGAACAGAAACAATCTACAGAACAGTGACTTTACTAATGGCAATACATGGTAATACAATGGCACTAAATTTGTATCTATCAATAATAATTGCTCTGATTGTAAATGGACTAAATGCTCCAATCAAAAAAGACACAGGGTATCGGAATGGACTAAAAAAACAAGACCCAGGGCACCTGGGTGGCTCAGTTGTTAAGCGTCTGCCTTCAGCTCAGGTCATGATCCCAGGGTCCTGGGATCGAGCCCCACATCGGGCTCCCTGCTCAGTGGGAAGCCTGCTTTTCCCTCTCCCACTCCCCCTACTTGTGTTCCCTCTTTCGCTGTCTCTCTCTCTGTCAAATAAATAAATTAAAATTAAATTAAAATTAAAAAAACAAATAAAAAAAACAAGACCCATCAATACGCTTACAAGAGACTCATTTTAGACCCAAAGAAAAATGGAAGTGTTGATTCAACTGACTGACTTCAGTCACAGTTATACCTAAGTCAAGTGAACGTACACACAGTTATAAAGAAAAATGAAAACCAAAGACACAAAATATTGGAAATAGTTTTAGAAGACTATCTTAAAATTTTTTTTAGATTTTATTAATTTTTTTAGGTCTTCAAGAGCAGCACCCCTTATTAGCCTACTGTCTCACTTTTAATTATTCAAGTTTTAGCTCTGTCAGAAGAGGATAATAAAATAAGGAGACTTGATGCAGAATTTTTCATCTATCCAACTGGCAGAAATTGTTTAAGTGATCCAATGTTAGCAAGGTTCAAGCAACTCTCTTACTATTCAGTAGTGGTAGAAGTATAAACATATATGACCATTCTAGCAAGCAACCAAGAGCTTTATAAAATATTTATACCCTGTGACCCAGTAATTCCCTTTTAGGAATTTAGCTTAAGGAAATAATCAGAAATGCACACAAATACTTCTATGCATGGATATTTATCACAGCAATATTTGTAAAACTGAAAAGTGAATGCAACATAACAAAAGGGGAATGGATAAATTATCCATTTACACAACTGAGTGATATGTAGTCATTTTATTTTCACTGACTACCCACTGAAATACTAGTAGATGAAGTGATGTCTTCTAGAATTTGCTTCAGATAAATAATTTAAAGAGAGAGGGAGTAGGGATATTGATGAAATGAAATCAGCTGAGCTGAGCAATGCTGAAGCTGCTTGATAGATTCATGGGTGTTCACTGCACTACTGTGTATAATTTTGTATATGTTTGAAATTTTCCCAATAAAATAAAATAAAATCTTCCACAAAAAAATATGGGAAATTTTAGGTAAAAAAACAGGACACAAACTGATTTTGCAACATGAATCCAAGTTTCTAAACCAAAAAAGGTGATATACATGCATAGAAACAACACACCAAAACATTTAAGAGTAATTATTTCTGTGTTATAGGATTTGACTTATTTTTAGCTCTTCATTTTTTTCTTGGTAACTCCCAGTTTTGTTTTTTTTTAAAGATTTTATTTATCAATTTGACAGAGAGAGAGAGAGAGAGAGAGAGAGAGAGAGAGAGAACAGGAACACAAGCAGGGGGAGTGGGAGAGGGAGAAGCAGGGAGCCTGATGTGGGACTTGATCCCAGGACCCTGGGATCATGACCTGAGCCGAAGGCAGACGCTTAACGACTGAGCCACCCAGGTGCCCCTAAATTACCTCCAGAAACTGAAGAATAATTACCAAATAATATGAAACCCCTTTAAAAGTCCTACATTAAGGTGATATTAGGGGTAATTTTCGTTTTCTTTTTTGACATTTCCACGACTCCTAAAATATTTTTGTAAGTAAAAACTTTTCAACAACCTTAATAAGTTGAGTAAGTACCAGTTTGGGAATCAAATGTGAGTTTCAAAATCAGTGTTCTTTTCCGAGACGTGCCATCTTACCGAGCAGCGGTGGCTCTGTGGACCAGCGTCTCCGTTTGCTCCGACAAGTGGGAGGGAAGCAGCAGCTCCACCGGCTGCAGGCGCAGTATCCGAGTTTCTAGCTCCGAACGGGAAGCAGAGTCCTGGAAACTATCAACCACCACCTCACCTGTGGCAGGCTGTACTCCCTGAAAACAAAAACACTACGTCACAGACAAAATAGTTTTCCCAATTATAACCTTGACACATTACAAACAAACATGGAAACGTGGTAAAGAGGATATACTCTTTAGTATGTAGTCCATTTCTAAAGTGTTTGAAAACCTGTGTACTTTCCAAGATTCTTAGGTAGGAAGTCAGACTCACCAATACCTAAGCTATGCTAGATGGGATTTTTAGAGACACTCTGAGTTAAGTCTTGGATCCAACAAAACTGACAGAATGACTCTGACAAGTCCCAAAACCCTCAGTTCCTTCTTCGTGAAGTGGGAATAAATCAGCCTACTTTAATCTTCAGATTACTGCAAGGGTCAAATTATAAAACAAACATGCACGCTTTGTAAACTACACAGTACTGGATAATTAGCAGTTGTCATCACTAAAAGTAACATGTTCCTAGTAACACGGCCATCAGAGTAGTAGTAAATTTCTACTTCATTATATAAAATTAATCAATAAAAGTATAATTTTTGCAAAAAAAAAAAACACAAATATAACAAACTCTGAATGAATCTCAAGTAGAGAATCTATCCAGGGAAATAACCATGAAAACTAAAAGTTACCCCCTATCATCCTAAGCCATAGCAAAGATAAGCTGGAAAAAATCATGGTTTGGGAGAGGCGGTAAGTAATCCACGCAAGGCTGCAGGGTGATAAAGTGGTGGAGCCAAGGGTCATGTGGCCTCACTCCATAGGCCACGCTCTCGTCCACTGCTGACGCTTAAGAAACGCATGGCACTAGTTACAGACGGCACAGACGGCATTAGCTACACTCATCCCTACACTCAAACACTGCCGACAGCAAGTCAACTGACACAGCCTCTTGGGAAAACAGCATGGTATTTTCTCGGCAGGTCGTAAGCATCCATTATCACAACTCGGCAAATCCTCCCCGAGGTATATACTCAGAGGCATGTATACCTCAAGGCATGCACAAAAAGGTTTCTAACAGCATTCTCTGTACAACCAAAATTTAAAAAGAACCCACATGTCTATTAATAGAAGAATGAATAAAGTGTAAATCATAAAATGAAATACAACACAGCAATGACAATGAAAACACAACTACAGTAACACAGGTAAATAAATCTCAGATACAAATAGTAGTTTGTAAACAAAAGGAGCAAGATCCAAAAAGATATAATATATTTACATTTCTATATAGTTTAAGGTGGTAAAACTGGAACTAAAAGCAAGGAAATTATTATCATAGAAGTCTGGATTACAATTACCTCTGCTGAAGGGAAGGGACCTTTCTCTATGCAGTATTCTATTTCCTGACTTAGGTGGTTGTCTCACATTACTATATTACTGCAATTATGCACTCTGTTTTATGAATTTTTTTCTTTTGAATATTTTATAATTTTTTGAAGGCCCTCATTTTTGGCTCAAGGAACTTCCTTAATTCTAGCCGAGAGACCTTCTCTAGTACCCAGATAGCTGGACTATAAGTATATTAGTATACTTAAATAAATTTATCTCCCAATCTACAAACCAAACATTTACAAAAGCTAGCTACGGAAGTTCAGGTAACAAATTTATCAGGCTAATTCCCCTTTGCCTTTTTTAAATCAGAGAAACGGTCTATATTATAACACCCACATCTATTACGATGCGATATGTGACACTGAGAATGCCAAAGTTAGTCTGTATAAAACTGTGCACCACCTAGAGTGAGGGTCAAGGGCATAATTGCAGCAGTACTATCAACACTAAAACCTTTGATTTGACACTGCCACTACCCAGAAGATAACTCCTATGGAGTGACAGAGGAACTCGTGACACTCATTACAACAGGGAAAAACCCGGCAAGGATAGTACTGAAGGGAGAAAAAGAAGAGATCCATCGCAGCCACACTGAGTTTGAGGAGTGAAGACAAATTCTAAGTGCTGTGCCCAGCAAAAAGTTGGGTGCAGGAGGCTGGATCTCAGGAGAGAGGTGCAGCCTGGGCCCACAGCTTTGGATGTCATCAGCCCAAGTATCATTTCCCCCTAACTATTCCCTCTCCTCCAAATCTATATACAACAATCCCATCATCATGTGTTTAACTTCAAATTCCTAGAGGAAATTTGCAAAACCCTTTACTACACCTGTGCATGTGTTGGCTTAGTGTTTCCTTCTGTTTCTTATCCACACCCATCCCTATCACTGGGTCCATCTTGAACCCAAACTCACAGAGCACATGGACAGAAACTACCTGGATGTCTCCATAGCAGAGAGTGCCAAGTAGCCATATGAGAAAATTTTAACTAGTTATATAAAATTATAAGGAAAAATGTTTTTCTAGTACAATTACTTGAGGGCACATTTCATCAGATAGTCTTATTGTAAACCATACATGAGTACTCACAGAGCTACATACCATGAACATCTATCATTCGTCTTTACCTACAATGCACTTACCACGATTCCAAAGAAAATGTTCCCCTTTTTTTTGTCCTTAACATTTTCCTTATTTTCACAGATACACAGAAGAAAGCTGGTAGAAGTATCAGTCATTATGTCATCGACATTTACAGCATCATCCAGCTTGACTAAAGGGTTCACATGTAATAATCATTAAAGAAAATTATATGCTACATTCCCACTAACTGCTTTCTCCTTTAAAATAATGCTTCACTTTCCCAGACATTTTTGCTCTGTGCAAAATCTTCCATACAGCCTTCATTCTTCTGATTTACTCTGATCATAGTTACATGCCTTATCTTCCCTAAGATATGAGGCTTGTAAGGACAGACAATTATTATCTTCTCACTTCCCAAAGAGCCTAGGAGAGTACCCTTGTGGAAGCTCAAATATTAATCTGCTTCTTTACTTGGATAATGCTAAGACTTGAATCCTTAACAATCCCACAATGCTTAATTCCACAAGTCAAAGCATGAATACACTAAAATAGTGTAAATTACTTTCCTCCTTTAAGGTACCTAAAGTTCTGAGAAAAAGCATGAGAATTTTTAAAAGACATGGAAAAAGAAAACCAAAGAAGAAAACAGACACATAATATGTGTATGCATGTATGTATATGTAGTGAGTCCGTTAATTAAATTCTCGGAGATAAATGCTGATTTGGGACATTTTCAGAAGTCAATCCGAAAACAATCAACTTAGGCATCAGCAGGTAAGAGCTTTAGCAATGGCAAAAGAGAAGCAGGGAGGTGTACCATTTTAGGAGCAGGCTTCAAGTTCAGGCAAAAGCAGCAATAAAATTACCAGGTTCTTACAGCCCGATCAGCTTAGAACAGCAGAGAACTGTTAATGATTTGGGGTCTACTCTCTGTAATAGCTGTTCCTATTCATGATATTATTGGAACAAAATGGTCTTCATAATTTGAGTGGAAGCTAAGCAGGTCTCTAAATAAGCAGGTCTATAATAAACCATAAAAAGAAATATTGCTTTCACACAGTATCTTTTAAGACCTTATCCCTGCAGAGGTGCCTGGGGGATTCAGTCGTTAAGTGTCTGCCTTCGGCTAAGGTCATGATACCAGGGCCCTGGGATCAAGCCCTGCATCGGGCTCCCTGCTCAGCGGGCAGCCTGCTTCTCCCTCTCCCACTCCCCCTGCTTGTGTGCCCTCTCTCGCTGTCTCTCTCTAATAAATAAATAAAATCTTTAAAAAAAAAAAAAAAAAAAGACCTTATCCCTGCATTTTTTTTTATTCTGAGACCTGACCCCATCACATAGAAAACATTTTAAAAAGCATCTTTGTCCCATTTCATATACAGTTATTTGGTTTATTTTTATTTTTTATGTTTCTTAGAAGTGGGGAGGGGCAGAAGCAGATAGAGAGAGAGAATCTTAAGCAGGCTCCACAGCCAGCACAAAGCCTGACACAGGGCTCAATCTCACAACCTTAGATCATGACCTAAGCCTAAATGAAGAGTCAGATACTTAAAAGACTGAGCCACCCAGGTGCCCCTGGTTTTTAAAAAAAGTAGACAGAATTCTATGATTTTGCTATTAGAATCATTTTGCTTCAAGTAATTCATTTGAATTTATGAATGACCATAAAATTGGGGGGCAATCACTGTGCTCCCTGAGGATTCTTTTTTTTTTTTT